GATGTAGAGAACTGGAACCTTTATACATGGACGGTTGGGATGTGAAATGATATAGCCGCTGTGGAAAACAGTCTGGCAGTTCCTCAAAAGGTTAAACACAGAATTACTAAATGACCTAGAAATTCCACTATAAGGATGTATACTAAGAGAAATTAAAATATGTCCACACTAAAACTTTTACACAAATGTTCATAGCAGCATTATTCATAATAACCAAAAGGTAGATAATCCAAAATTTCTATCAATTGATAAACAAGTCTTTCCATTCCATACAATGGAATATTATTCTGCCATTAAAGGAAATCAAGTATTAATACATGCCATAACATGGATAAACCTCGAAAACATGTAGGTAGGTGAAATAAGTCAGACACAAAAGGCCACATGTCATATGGTTCTACCTATATGAAATATCCAGAGTAAGAAATTCTACATGAAGCACATTAGTAGTTACCTTAGAACTGGGTGCCATGGAAATTGACAGTTCAAAGGAGTGGCCTGATGAAGAGTTTAGGTTCTATCATGATATTTGCACAAGTCTGGCTGCCCCAGGATATATTAAAAACCACTTACTTATACACTTTAATATGGTGAACTTTCTGCTACATGAATTTTATCTTGACATTCATTTAAAAATCAGTGAAGGGCAAGTTTACATTGTTGTTTTGCTCATAAAAAAATTACAATTTCATTTTGGGTACTAAGCTACTGTAAGATAGGAACAAGAAGTTCTGGTAATGTAATGTGTGTTTCACAAAACTACACGAAAGGGTATAAATGAATGTTTTTCAAAAAACATTATGCAGTGTTTACATGTAATGAAATGTTACACAGTATCCCATTAATTGTGGGATTTTTATGTTTCTCTGTGTTGCTTAACATTTTTAAAAAAGAAAAAAAATGCCTTTAAAGACCCTCTTAAATTTAGTTAATGGAAAAGTAAATAAACAGCCAGAGTATAAACAATATATACACTCACATAGTTAAAAGAGAAAAATGGAATGTTTTATGTGTTTAGGAAAAACAGACAAAAGTAATGGTTACTTGGAAAAACTAGCAGAGTGGTTACACCTTGATGGAGAGGTACAAAAAAGGGAAAGTCTCAAGTGGATGTGGGAGATGATGTGTCTAAGAGTGAGCCATTTTTGGCAGAATAAAAGTCTAGTGGGCTACTAGTTTGTGAAAATCAGACTGCAAAACTGGAGCTGACTTTCAGCATTATCTTTCAATTATGTAGGACTAGTATCTTGTACTTGATGTTCTCTCTTAGCTCAGTCCCATTTGCTTTTTTGTAAATAAAAAGTAGAGCCAGCTCTTCATATCTGCAGATTCTACACCCATGATTCAACTTGCTGGAGATCAAAGATATTCAGAAAAAAAATGGCATCTGTACTGAATATTTACATATTTTTTTCTTGTCATTATTCCCTAAACAATACAATTATAACAACTATTTGCATAGCATTTGCATTGGATAAGGTATTGTAAGTAATTGAGAGATGATTTAAAGTCTATGGGAGGATATGCAAAAGTGATATGGAAATACTATGCCATTTTATATAAGGGACTTGAGTATCCTCAGAATCTTGTGGTGTCCAATGGGTGGGATGTACTGGAACCAATCCCTTTTAGATACCAAGGGACTGCTGTCCTTTGTTTTAAATCCTAGCATAGAAGGGACATTTTGAAATCCATTCTTTGATTCATTCATTCAGACATCCAGCAAAAACTTTTCAAGTACCAGCTATGTATCAGCCACTGTTTCAGGTACCTGGGATAGAATAGGGCCAAAGACAAAGACTTCTGTTCTCAAAGAGCTTTGATTCTAGTGTGTGTGTTGGGGTTGGTGGAGATGGGGACTAGAAGCAGACCACAAACCACAAACACAATGATTAAGTTGATTGGAGTTGAAAAATGCTATGGAGAATGAAATAAAGTAGATGAGCTGTGCATAGGTGAGGTTTGCCCAGACAAAGGGCGTGGGGAGGTTGGATCTCCCTGAGGGCAATGCTTTCCAGCAGAGGAAACAAAGAGAGAGTTTCCAAGGAGAAAAGGCCTAGCATATTCAAGTAGTCAGGAGGTTATAGTGGCTAGAAAATAGACCAAGGGGAGAGTGAGAGGAGAGCAAGTCAGAGAGATCTCAGGAAGATCAGATTATATGCAGCCTAGGAGGCTATTATAAGGACTTGAATGTTTTTAAAGATATAGTTTACATATCATAATATTCACCTGTTCAGTTTACAATTCAGTGCTTTTAGTATATTCACAATGTTATACAAGCAACACCACTAATTCCAGAGTATTTTCATCACCCCGAGAAAGAATCCCACTACCCTTTCTCTCCTCTTGCTAGCTCCTGGCAAACACTTACCCACATTGGGTTTTATGAATTTGCCTTTTGTAGACATGTCATATGGATGGAATCATACAATGTACTATCATCTGTGCCTGTTTTCTTCTCATTTAACATAATCTTTTTAAGTTACATCCATGTTGTAGCATATGTTACTAGAATTTCATTCCTTTCAATGTCTGCATAATATTCCGTTGTATAGATATACCACAGTTTGTTTATACATTCATCTGTTGATGGACTTTTTTTTTTTTCTATCCTTTGGCTATCATGAATAATACTGCTACGAACATTTGGTGTACAAGTTTTTGTGAGGGTGTATGCTTTAAATTTTTTGGTATATACCTAGGAGTGGAAAGACCTGCCTTTGTGTGTATGTGCATGCATACAATGGGGAGCCAGAGCAGGGTTTCTAACACAATCTGACTTGCATGTTCAAAGGATCTCTCTGGTGAATAATAATTAGAAGTAGGGAAACCAGTTAGGAGGTGACTGCAGTGATTTGGGTGAGATGACAGTGGCTCAGGCCAGGGTGAAAGCAGTGCAGGTGTTGAGGAGCAGTCAGATTCTGGATACATTTTGAAGGTGGTCTATAGAATTTCTGCTCAGTGAGAGAGAAAGTGAGGCTTTAAGGATAACTCCAGAGATTTTTGATTAAGTGAGATGGGAAAGGCACAAGAAGGAAGACCAGAAGTTCAGCATGGATATCCTGCAATTGAGATCTTCATTTTACATCCAAGAGGAGACGTCAGGCTGGTAGTTAGATAAATGAGTCTGGAGTTCAGGAAATCGTCTGGGCTACAGATATAAATTTGGGAGCCATTGGCAAGTTGATGGTATTTAGAACCACGAGGCAGAGATGGATCACTAAAGTTCCCATTTGTTTTAAGGACAAAACAATATAAATGTGAATAGAGAGTCGTAATATTTTCTATTTATTGAGTTCCAACAATGAGCTCATGTTATAACTGAAAACATATATCAGAGATATCATAAGCTTCTCTAGAAATGCATATTTCAACACAGCTGAACTATAAGCCCCCAGGGGATATATTACAGAAGTTATTCATTAATATCTTAGGAACATATACATCAATATTTGTGTGAAGACTCTTTTGTTATCAGTGTTTTCAAATTATGCTTTTTGGGGTATTTTGTTGTTATTTTCTGTTCTCCTACATACATTGCAACTTGCTATCAATTCATAAAGGAGTAGGAAGAATTTGCAAAAGGTGGGTGGTAATCTTACCTAAAATGACTAATGTCCATATGATAATTTAACAGTTGAGGGCAGAGAATGATAGAAAACAATCCATTTTTAAAAAAAATTTATTTGTTCTTTTTAGTTACACATGACAGTAGAAGGTATTTTGACATATTATACATACATGGAGTACAGTTTACCATTCATCGATCCATTTTTAATAAAGAAATAATAAGTAAAAATAAATAAGCTTAAGAAAGAAATAACAAATGGGATCTCACTATTCCAAAAACCCTGGCAGGTAGGAATAACTGCAGATCTGAGAGGTTTAGCCTGGAGAAGATTGAAGACAGGATGAGTAGGAATTTTATTCAGCTATTTGAAAGGGCATAGGCTTGATTTATGTTACTGTGGGTAGAACTAGGATTCAGGGCTGGGGTGTGGCTTAATGGTAATAGCACTTGCTTCGCGTGTGTGAGTCCTGGGTTTCCTCTTCAGCAACCCCTTCCCCGAAAAGGAACTAGAATTTATGGATAAGGATTTCAAGTGGACAAATTTCCATTTAAATAAGAAACAACTTTCAGATAATTAAAGATGAAAAACTATACGCAAGGCAGACTTGGGCACAGTGCACCAGTGGACCTATTGGCACAACACACGGTGCTCCTCAGTGCTTCATCCAGAGGGACTTCTGCATGGGCCTAGGACCTCTGAGTGCTCTGCCAACTTATGGATTTCATGATTTTTAGACATCTTTCAAAAGACAGAATGGATTTCTGATGGTGTCTGAGGGGTTCTACATTTGTATGATATAAGTAGACTCTTGTTCTACTTACGGTCATAGTCCAGCGTGCTGTCACATGTAGGGTGAAGTGTTCACCCCAGTTAGATTGCACTAAAGCACTCCAAGAGTTAGAGCTGGTGGAGTGATTGGAGGTACAGACTGTGCACTGTTGTGTGTGTGTGTGTGTGTGTGTGTGTGTGTGTGTGTGTGTTTAGAAGTAACCTTCACTCCCAATGTGAATTGTTATTCAAAGAATGTGGAGTTCTTTATTTATCTTACGTGTTCCAAATGCTAAAGTACTTTAATCCTAACACTTTTAGGTGATCAAAGAGAAAGAAATATTTAAAGTTTGGATGAAAACCTTTGGAATCATTAACTCTTCTCAGTGAAAGAGATCAACTGAAAGAGGATGACCTGGTTCCTCGTTTTACAGAAAAAGAGGCCACAAGATCCAGATGGCAGTTACCCACGATCAGTTAGTTGATTGAAACCTTTCCCTCTCATTCTCTGTGTAGCACCCTATCCATCTACAATTGTAGATGAGAATCCTTATGGCATGCCATGCATTGTGCTAACCTTATGTAGTACACACATTTTCTTATTTAAAATATTTCAGTTCACAAGTCTTGGATTTTATTTCCAACTCTACTACTTGTTACCCTTTGTTTGAATTGAATGAAGTTAGTCCAGATTTCAGATCCCCACTTCTCTTTTTTTTTTAAATGAGGTGCAGACTTGTTCTCTTGATTTCCCTGGAGCCCTGTTAGAAGAAATGGGAATGTAGTTATTAATTTTGGTGATAATTGGCATATTTGTACTTTTTAATAAAAGAACCAAGAAGATGGTATTGTTAAGGTTCATATATTAAAATAAAGAGATTAATGAAGATGCCAGGTGACATATGAAGTTCCGGTCCCAGGTGAATTATTTTTAACAGGATCTATATACTTCTCAGAACTTTCATAGATTGACATCCAACATCGAGATAAACAAATATCAACATGACAGTGTACAATAGAACATATCCCAAACCATTTCTGCTTGGCAGTGGGAAGTCAATACAATATAAAATGTCACCTGAGTATGCCATCTTTGCACTATTTATCCCTTGGAAAGAAGCATCTGCTTATATCCAATGTCAAACCAAATGGTTCTCCTCTTATCTTTACTACTGTGTGGGTTTCTCCATGAACGATAACTGGCAAAGGCCTTCCTAACAGCCCTGCAGCCCTCTCTGGGCTCGGTAGATGCCTGCAGCCAGCAGCTCAGCTGGCACATGAATTATTTCAGGTTCTGTTCCCATGTTTCAGTCAATCTGTCTAGAGAACAATGGAACTCCTGAAACATTCTGATGCTCAAATGCAGTGTAAAAAGGACAATATACAATTGCAGGCTTCTGTGTTTGAACTACTCCCCCAGGGAAACTCGTGTGGTAGTTGGAAACTCATCGCTAAACCAGGAAACCCAATGTGTGCTCCAGCGAGGCTTAGTGCTCTGGTCTACGTGCTCTAGAGAAATGTAATGCTTATACCTATTCCCAGATCTTTGATCTTTTTGCACAAAGCTAATATTGGAGAATTCTTTCTTTCCCTGGAGTTTCAGACCTCCTATCAACTCACCATAAAGACAAGGAAGAGATTTGCTTTTGCAACAAGTGAGGACAGATGTGGCCAAGTGTTGATTATTATGAATACAAATGTTATCATTACTGAGTGCTAAGCTTTGTTTATTTCCTCAGAATTCCCCTAGAGTCTCTGGACTGGGAATCTCGCCCACAGACCCTAATAAACGTCCTCTGCCACTTTGAGCAGGCTCTGGTTTGATGTGACAGCACATGGTAGTCTTCTCTCTTACCAGTGGCACAGCAGCATCTAACCAAATGGTACTCTGCTCAGCACTGTGTATATTTTTTTCCATTGCCACTATAATGAGGCTCGTAGCCAGGAAAGAGAAAAATAACAAATGGGACAGCCATATTCATTCTAAGAGTAGATGCAAAACAAGGGTGGAGACTGTCAAGTAGGCCATTCACTGGGAAAAGACATTTGCTTTTAAGTCAGACCTTTTTTTGTTTATTTTTATTTATTTATTTTTTCTTAAAGAGAGAGGGAGAGAGAGAGAGGACTTTTAAATATTTATTCTTTAATCATCGGTGGACACAACATCTTTGTTTTGTATGTGGTGCTGAGGATCGAACCCAGGCCGCACGCATGCCAGGCGAGCGCGCTACCTCTTGAGCCACATCCCCAGCCCTAAGTCAGACCTTTTAAAGAATTCTTCCTTTGGGATAGGAAGAGAGGGCATGGGGGGTGGGGCTGTAGCTCGGTGGTAGAGCATTTGCCTTGCATGTGTGAGGCACTGGTTTAGAGCCTCAGCACTGCATATATATAAAAGAATAAAAAATTCATCATGACAAAGAAAATAATTTTTAATAAAAGAAGAGAGGGCCTGGTTGGTGAGAGAGGGATGGGGAAGGTGCCCCTTGAGCATTCACCTCAGTGATGTGCTGTGGAGCCTGTTACTATAGTCCTCAGGTACCTGGGCTGGGCTAATGATTTCTTCTCATGTTCCCACCAGTGACTTGTTCACCCAGAAATAAGTGAGCTCTCTAACATGGAGATCAGAGAAAGCGTGTCATACATGAGTTCCAGCTCTAAGAAATAATAAATGACACATGGTCTCAGTCATTGGGGCCCCGAGATCATGCCCAAAGGAGGACATGTTCAATGAGTATGGTGAGACAAGTCATGGACAACCATGCACAGGTTTTTGAGAATACGGCCCTCTTCAGTTCAGGTCATCGGAAAAGACTTCCCCATCAGGGGTAGGAAGTACAAGCAGCAGCTGTTAGGGCTGGCACCTTGGAGTGTAATTTTTTTTGGAAGATGAGGAAACAGCTTGCTAAGCCTAAACTCTGGGTCATCTTTTTTTTGCATCCCCTCCAGACTTCAGGGGGTTTCATGAGTGCCTGGTATCTGATGTTCAATATAGAATCTAAGAGAAGAGAAGCTTTCCTCTAACCAATTGTGATAAAATAATATCTAATAATTAACATCTATGGAGAATTTACTTTGTGACAAATTGCCAGAAGCACACTGTTTCTGTTTCTTTGTTCTCACAGGTTCTGTTAGTTACCCCATGTATAAATGTGAGAAATGGAGCTTAGTGTATTAGACAGCTTTCCATTGCTATAATGAAATACCTAAGACAATCAATTTAAAACGAGGAAAAGTTTATTTTGGCTCACAGTTTTGAACATTCAGTCCATGGGCCTGTGGCAAGGCAGCATATCATTGGCAGAGTTCATGGTGGAAGAAACTTCTCAACTAGTGGCAGCCAGGAAGCAATAAGAGAGAGAAGGGGCCAGTATCCTAATACCCGCTTTAAGGGCATGCTCCCAATGACCTAACCTCCTCCCACTAGGCACCACCTCCTAAAGGCTTCACCACTTCCCAGCAGCACCACAGGCTGGCAACTACACATGCCTTTCACACCCAGGCCTTTGGAGGACAACTGTAGTACCTAGAAAGGACAAAAGAGCTTCCCAAAGTCATGCAGCTGCCTCTGCCTTTCCCAGAGCCCCATTTCTGGACAATCTAGTTCCTGTCTTACACACCTGTCAATGGGTTTCACCACAGCTACCTACACCTGACTTGGAGGGGGTAAAGGAGGTGCAGGAATAAACTTTCAGTTGTTAACAAGAAATTTCACTAATGAATTTTGGGGAAGCCATGTTGGGCAAGTCTCCTTCAGGGCATGTTGTCACAGGACCCTTTGCAAGTAGGCATGTAAACATAAGTGTATACAGAAAGAAGGGCATGTGCAGTGCTTGTAACAAGACCCAGCAGGTCAGGAGGAAGGTCAGTCCCAGTGCGGGAACACTAATTTTGCTGATTGGCCTGGTTTAGTGTGGATACCCTATATTCTAAACTTGCAAGACAATTATTTGGGACTAAATCAGGAAGAATATTTCATTTTATCTTAGTGTAGCACATATTTTTTCGCTTTATTTTATGTGGTGTTGAGGATCAAACCCAACGCCCTGCGCATGCCAGGTGAGCATGTTAGCGCTTGAGCCACATCCCCAGCCCTCGCTTTCTTAGTAATGCATTAGTTATATGATTTTATACAAATTCGTCAGTTTCCTCATTCCATTGCTATATTTTTCCTTAGGTATTTATAAAAACCTGTAGTTTAGATTCCTCATTCCACCTCAAAACACCTTTATGTTTTCCTTATGTTTTTTCTTTTTTATTTAAATTTAATTTTCAACAGATATATGAAAACATAAAATCTGTACATATCAAGGAAGTGCCACATGATGTTTTGGTGCCTGTATCCATTGTGTAATGTTTAAATCAGTTTAAACATATCTATCTCCTATTATTCTTTTATAGTGAAATTTTCAAAATTCTTTCTTCTAGCTTTGTGAAATTTTATACATTTTTGTTATTTGTAGTCAACCTCTTTCCCCTTTCTGAATTGATAACACTTTGTTTTAAGGATGCTTTGTTAGGACTGGCATTATACCAAGTCATTTTTTTCCTCCACTTTTATTTCTATTTTCACCTTAAAGATTTTTACCTTCCTATCTCCTACCCCCCACCTCTTTCTCTCCTTACCTGTAACATTTCTGCCTTTCCTCCTTTCTTAACTGCTCATAATTCTGGGATATATTTTTACTCATTCTGAGGAGTATTCTAAGTCTTATTTCACCAAAGAAAGTGCTAATGAAGCCAGGCAGGTTTACACGCTTGTAATCCCAGGGGCTTGGGAGGCTGAGGCAAGACAAGGGAAATTCTGACACATGCTACTGCCTGGATGAACTTTGAAGACATCATGCTAAGTGAATGAAGGCAGGTATACAAGTACATATAGGTACTTATACTATGTAAGTGCACTTATAGGAGGTACCTACACTAGGCAAATCCATGTAGACAGAAAGAACAGTGATTACCAGAGGCTGGGGGTGTGGAGGGAGAACAGGGACTTAATGTTTAATGGATACAGAGTTTTGCTTTGGAATGATAAGAAAGTTTTGGAACTTGATAGTGGTGATGGTCATACAACCCAGTGAATACACATAATGCCACCGAATCACTTAGAAGTGGTTAAAGTGACAAATTTTATGAAACCACAATAAAAGGTTTTTGCATGTGTTTGTGATACTGGGATTAAACCCAGGGATTCTCTACCACTGAGCTACATCCCCAGCTCTTTTATTTTATTTTAACCCAGGGTCTCACTAGATTGCCCAGGCTGGCCCTAAACTTGCAGTTCTCCTGCCTCAGTCTCCCAAGTAGCTGGGGTTACAGGTGTATGCCACCATGCCCTGCCTGAAGATTAATTTTTAAATGCTGCACATAAAGATAGCCTTAGGAGAAAGCTCTTCCACTTCTTACAAGTTGGTGACCCTGTGTAGCCACTTCCTGTGATCACAGACCCCCAGAGCAAGACAGTATGATGGTACACTGTGTCCTGTTACACGAGCAATGCTGACTTGTGCTCCGAAACTGAGATGAATACATAATGGAAGGAAGGAGCTATGATTCCTTACTATTTTGCATCTTGATTGGTAGTCAGTCTGTCTTCTGATTAAATATGAGTACTTTCCTCGGGTTGTGACCTCCTCCTGCAACTGTTATTCTTAAATCTACTGGCATTTACTTAAGCAGGCCTCTTTTTCAACAAGACATGACCTTTCCTAACAGAGTTTACAGAAATCCATATACCCTGGTTAAAGATAAAAAATTGAGTTTTTTTCTCAAGAGTTAATGTGGGCAAAGTAAAGAACTGGTGGTTCTAATTTAAGTATAAACATATTTTATGGATTCTTGTGTAACACCTTCCTGATTTGTCTCCTCCCTGCTTTCAGGTTAAAACGTTGCTTTATTGAACATTTTTATAAAATCAGTAACTTCAGAAAAAATGAGGCCCACGTTTGGAGGAATGAAAACTGTCTTGTCAATTTGATGAATCTTTTCTCGGAAAGAAGTTTCACCAACATATAAAATCAAATAGACAATTCAAGAAGAAGAAGAAGAAAGGAGTGCAGAAGAAGGCAATGTGTAGTATCATATAAGTGGTTTTTACGTAGGACTTTTCTCATTTAATGGCCACAGCAACCTAGCAAAGTAGTTATCGTTACTTCACAAGTGGCAAAATGAAGGGTCAGCCTTAGCAACTGGATTGTTCAAGGTCACATATGCTACGGAAGAAGCAAATTCTAGCAGAGCCTTCTTTCTTGTATGTGGCCTCCCCATGTTATCCCAAAAATCTAAGGTCCTGGGCTTGAGGCCTGGGACTGCTCTCCATAGTTACCCTTTGTGGCTATAATAGGTAGAATGGATCTCTAATTGGGGAAAATTGAGAACAGATGTACTTAGATTTCTTTGAAGTGTTTTTCCAGAGTAGTTTACATCATGCCATCTCTTCCTATACATATAAATATGATTACAACCACGTTTTTCTGAAATGATCTTTTATATCTTGAATTTGGGAGATTCAAAGGAACAGGTTCAAATACACTAGTGACTCAGGCATATCTACAAAAAGAAATAAATGTCTCCACCAGAACCAACTCTATAATTTAATTAGTGAGGCCCAGTGCTAAGTGAAACTCAGGACCCCTTCTTCAAAAATGTTAAAAATATCAACATGGTGAGAACAAAGTATTCAACTAAGCACATGCTCTGTGCAGCTGGCTACCATTCTAGCATGGAAAAGAGGCAAGCCACTTCTGCAGGTCAGATCCTTCTCGGGGTCTTTAGGGTTCGTTTGCTTTGGCCTTAACACAAGTCTTGTTTGTTTGTTTTGTTTATAAGCCTGTCTAAGCAGGCTTACCTTACTTACTCTCTGACATAATAAAAGGTGATAAGTTAAAGGAAAAGTAGTTACCCATCCTGCAACCTTAATTTTCTTCTTTGAACCATATTTTGATTTATTTTTATTTTTGCAATACTGGGGCTTGAGCCTAGGGCCCCTTGCATGTCAGGCAAGAGCTCTGTCACTGAGCTACACTCCCAGCTAACTTAGGTGCTGGGGATTGAACCTAGGGCCTTGCAAATACTAAACCCAGTAGTGCTCGACTACTGGGCTATACCTCTAGCCTGCCTCATTTTTTAATTGAATGTTTACTTATTTGTTGTTGTTGTTTTTCTCCTCAAAGGATTTCCAATGAAAACTTTCCATGGGTATGGTGCCTTCTGTCTTTATTACTTTGGTGGCAACCTTTAGGCTCACTTTGTCTTTAAAATTCTCTGATTACCTTTTTAAAAACTGAGCAAAAGCTTTTGTGTCCACCTGACATTTGACAGGAATTTAGCTGCTATATTCCAACATAGACATAGGTTGGATCACCGGCGACTCTTAAACAAGTCTCAGAAAAATCTAACCAAACACCTCACGATGGAGGATTGAATCAGAGGATGTAAGCAGAGAAGAAACTGGTCATGGCATTTGTCACATCCCAGTCTAAGCAGCATCACGCAGCCTGGCTCCTTAAGGAATATCTTCCTGAGATAAATCAGCCATGCAGCCTGGCAGAGGGGCGCCTCCTGGTCTGTGTCTGTCCTAGGGATGAGATCTGGACCACAGAGCCTGTCGCTACTCTGCCATGGCCCCATCCTCCTCTGTCTGGCTTTTGATGAACTGAAGACCAGGTCTGGGCTGTAATGGAGACTTAGAGTAGAGTGAAGCATTTCAGCTTTAAGAAGATTATTATAATTATCCCAAGGCACTGAAGTGGTGCTGCATTTGCATTTCAGACATTAAAATCAGAGGGCAGATCTATAAGAGGTTAATTTTGTAAGTCTGTAATAACAGAGGGACCAAGACTAGATTCCTTATGCTCTAGGCCTGGTTTGCAGTTTGAAGATGCAAAATACGCTGATAAGATTAAAGCTACTCCGGCAACTCTTAAACAAATCTCAGCCTCTTCTGTTTCCAAGAAACCTCTACCCTTTATTACAGATGACTCTCTGGGTCCCAGCACCCTAGAATTCCTTATAATGGATCCTGTGAGTTTGTAAGGACACGAAAGTAAATTCCCTTCTTCTAGGTCATTGCAAGTTATAGAACAGATAGTCTGGCTTCACATTCTAGCAGCTAGATGTCCACACTGAGGCTATAGTTAAGGACCACTTATTGATCATCATAACTATATCCATTATGTAAGTCAGCATTCCATTACTATAACAAATACCTGAGATAAACAACTTATAAAGAGAAAAGGTTCATTTTGGCTCACAGTTTTAGAGTTTCTAGTTTTATGATCACCTGGTCTTTTTGATTTTGGGCCTGTGATGGAGTAGCACATGATAGTAGGGAGTGCATGATAGAACAAAACCATTCACTTCATGGCCAGGTACAAGAGAGACCAAGGTCCCACAATGCCCTTCAAGGACACCCCCCCATACACACACACACACAGTGACCTAAAGACTTTCCATTAGGCCCTACCTCTTAAAGGTTTCACCACTTCCTAGTAGCACCATAGGCTGGGACCATGCCTTTAAAACATGGATCTCTGGAGAACCTTCCTTATCCAAACTATTTTATCCATCATAAGGTAGTCCTTCTGAATTTCAGGCATTATCTAAATGCTAAGCAAATGCTTTGCCACTGAACTACAACCCCAGCCCAGATTGATTTTTTTTTGGCTTTTTTTTTTTTTTTGCGGGGCGGGGGGGCGGGGAGAGGGGGATGTGCCTATGTAAAGTCTAGGGATATTATCAGGAAGAAGCAAACTTCTTGGGCAGAAAGTGTTGTGTATAACATGGTGTTCAGACATAGAGAACTAACATGTCTGAACTAATGATATGCATATTCTTCTATTAGTAATAATAATAGCTAATAATTAAGGAGTCTTTATATTATACCTGATATTTGACTAAGAACTTTACACTATCTAATTTAATTTTGACAGAAACATTAGATAGTTAATATCCTACTCTCAGTAACACGCCAAAGAACAGCTCTCTGATATCTGATTGATCTGTGTATGAACTTAGTACTTTCTGCCCATACATCTAACAACTGTACTGCTATATGTAGATTTGTTTGACTGCCTGTAATAGTAAATCAGCTTTAGCTTCCTTGTCTACTATAATCAAATCTTGGCATCTACCTGAAGTATTGAACTTGGCAGGAAATAGTTCTGTGATTGATTTGTGATGTCTGCATTGGTAGAACCAGTATGAAGGATTGATGAGACAGGACTCACCATTCCCATATTAGGCTATTCTCAAACTATGCACGAGGGACTTCTGTGTGGACCATATGTCATCTAAGTTTCTGTAGAACATATTTTTATTACAGAATCTATGTTTTTATTTCTAGCCTGTCAGAGGGCTACTTGTTAATGAAAAGTAGACAGTTTCATATTAGTATCTTATCAAAACAATGCCCATTTCCCATAAATTCCACTTTTAGATTCATTTACCTTCTCAAAACTGAATCCTTGGAAGATGATGTGAATGATGAAAAATATTTGAGAGTATCTAAGGATGGCTTTCTATTGCATTTAGTGCTATATATGAACCTTGCCAGTGAGAATCCTGAGTACCATGTGAAATACATCGAATACACAATACTCTAAAGTCAGTGGTGTATTGAAATATCTCTATTGCTATCAAGTAAGCCAGAGCCTTAGAATTCTTCATTTTTAACAGAAAGTTTGAACAGATTTCTACCTCTTCAGTACTGAACAATATTTTCCTCTTCCATTTTGTTGCTTAGATTAGAGTTTGTCCCGTGAGAAATCACTGAACAGATTTAATCTTGTTTATTCTTTCTTTTGAGACAGCATATTTATCCTCTGCCAAAATTATCCAAAGAATGAAATGAATTTCAACCAGAGATGTAGAGCCTAAAAAATTTAGGTCAAAGCTAACATATAAGTGCCTTTGTCTTCCTAACATCAATATTTTCATATTGCTCTTCTGGAAAGAAAATAACTACATATTGACATCTTAGCATTAAAAGCAGCCCATATTATTGACTATTGTTGTTTCCTGTTACTCTGATATAAAAATTTTATTTTCTTTGCTGAGGACACTTTGTTTATATCCAAATGGCTAGATAGACACAAATAGCCTAAAAGTCCTGTGCTGTTTTCAATGTTATCCTGACCTACCTTAGCCTCGGTCATGAGAACAGCCAGAAAGAATGTTAATTATAGCCTAAGAAGGAGTCCCTGGCTTCTGGTAGCTCCTTTGAAGGAGGGAAAACAGGGGAACACTAAACTGGACAATGGATTATAAACCCAGTGAAATTCTAAGTTCTAAATTCTGGGTCAGGCCTTATCTTCTGGGTAATCTCAATCTGAGTTTCCTGGACTGTAAAATGTACTTGTAGACCAGAAAAATCTCTAAATTTCTGCCAAATGTAGGAACTTGGGGATTCCATGGCACTCTGTGACCAAGCCCTTCATGTTGGCTGCTTTCATTCAGGGCAAGCAGCAAGGCGGTTTTACTCTCTGAATCTTGGGAGCCTTTGGGAGGCCATACTCCTGAATCCCCTCCAAGACAAGGGCTGAGCACTGTCACTTTTTCCCAAAAGCAGTTTACCCCTCACAATGGTGAGAAGTGTCACTTTGGTGGTACCTCTGTGTTCTGTATGTGTTTTATTGAAGCAGAATTCAGGTTCTCTAATGTTCTTTTGGCTTAAGATGATATTCACAAGCTTTATAAACTTTCTTGCGACAGGGAGAGGGAAGAATTCCCTTCTCTTGAATGCAGTGTTTAACTGTCAGTCATCAACTTTAAGGATACCCTTCAATAGTTTCAGTTCTTTTTTTGTGTCCATCTAGAATTAATAAGAGAATTTGGGTAAGTTGGACCAAGAATAAGCTATATTACAATAGTTCATGTGACATTAAAAAAAAAACTTTAGACAGAAAAATTAATAAGGCTGTCATGGTCATGAAAGTTCTGTAATGACTTACAAAAGCAAAGGACATTTTTTTTTTCAAACTAACCCAAGCCAATTTGATTATCTACAGTTCTTTTAGGTAGATATTTTTAGCCTTCCATAGTTCAAGGTACATGGAGTTCTAAGTTTCTTCTTTTGAATCCTTATTTCTAGGTTGTTATGAAGGAAATGAGTCCTAAACCAAATTCTGCCATACTTTCACACATATATTAGCAAGCTCACAAAAACGTGATACAATCTATTTTGTAAAATTGATGAAGAGTTATATCCTTGTCCTTTTAGGCACTCCTGTAGTACCTTCTATAAAAGATATGCTAGAGGCAGGTCCGGTTATAATTCAGATAATCACCCAAAGTCAAGCAAAAAATAAATTTAAAAACTCCTGCAAGGATCAGAATAATGGACCCATCTGTCCTCTAATCCATTGGATATTTGAACTTGCTGGATTTGGATAAGAGCAAGAAGACCTGCTCAATATTTCTAGACAGTCCATATATCTTGAACACGATTACAAAGTAGAATCCTTTCTAACTTCCATCATTCTAATTATCAATACTTTTACTGTTGACTGGTAAAAACAATAGCCAAAGCAATTGTAGGAATTTCCTTTGGAATGTAACCTTCTGATTAGAGTCTTTCCAATAATAATCTGGACTGGCATAGGCATTGGCCAATCAGAGCAGATTTTGGCCCCAGCTGGTGCTAGACTGCAGAAGCCCTCTATTGAGCCAGAGTTGTCTCAGAGAACTTCCTAGGCAACTAAGGCTTGAATGGTGAAGATCTGAGAGAGAAGGGAACCATACAGAGTTTAGAAGTTGCTTTTCTCTCTTGGTTCATCTGCTGACTCTATAGCAGGTCTTTTGGCAATATCTTGGGGGCTGAAGAGGCAAAACTGTGAGTTCAGATTTGCCAAGGTAGGTAGAACTTGAGAAAGCAAGGTCCTGGAGGAAGGAATACAGAAAAAGGAAGCTGGATACTCAAATGATCTTTCCCCTTTGAAGAGTCTGCCAAATATTAAGCTGTACAGAGCAAGAGACAAGTGAAACCTACTGAAAAGTGGAGTTTTCTATAATAAAATACTGAGTAAAATAATATTTGCATTAAAAGCTACCAAGGAGAAGAAGTACTAATAGATACCCTACTGGGGTTCTTGGAGAGTTGTACCCTAGCATAGTCTGAGATAAAATGAGCTGTTAAAAAAAAAAAAAACTCAGTATGCTTACTCTTGTTTTGAGTTAAATTGGCCACTTCCATTTGGGATGCCTACTACAGTATTGGGTGAACCATCACTGAAGGAAGATAGTATTATCAGTAATCTCTAAATTTCTTATACTTTTTTTTTCTAATAAAAATTACAAGGCATAATGAAAATATGCCCAAAAGAGAAAGATAGGCACTGGAAAAATACCATATTCATCAATTACCCAATTATGGGCATTCAGACATAGACTTTAAATCGCTGTGACTCATATGTTCATGATAATAAATGACACAATGAAGACTTTCACCAGAAAACCAGAATCTACAAAAAGAAACTAGAAATTCTGGAACTTAAAAAAAATGAAATAATGGCTATGAAAAACTCAACACATGGATTTAATAGCATAATAAATGTAGCACAAAACTGAATTAATGAAATGGAAGACAGACCAGTAGAAAATATCCAGGTGTTTGCACAGAGAACAGAGAAGATGAAAACATAGAAAAAAAAATGAGACATAAGACATATGGCATGTATGTCCTCCCACATAGCAACATGTAATTGAAATCCCAGGAGAGTGGAAAAGGAGATAAAGTGGAGCAATATTTTCTGAAAATGATAAAAGTCATTAAAACATGGACCCAAGAATCCTTGCATGTGCCAACCAGGTTATATACCAAACAAACAAACAAAAAACCCCAAAAAAACAACCAAACAACAACAACAAAAACCTAGATAGGAGTAGTAAAACTGCTGAAAACAAAACCAAAGAGAAAATTCATTACACCAGTGAGGGAAGCAACAACATTGTTTTCGAAGGAACAAAAATAAGACCAATAACTCAATTTCAACAGAAACATTGAATGCCCGCAGACAATGGAAGGTCATATTAATATGTTGAAAGAATGCAACTACCAACCTAAAATTTTATAAAACCAACAATACTATTTGTCAAAAGTTGAATTCAAATAGAAACACTTTAAGACAAACAAAAATTGAAAGAATCCATCACTAGTAGACCAATACTGAAAGAAATATTTAAGAAGATTGTACAGGCAGAAAGAAAATGATCCCAGAGATGCAGATTTCGTATGGCTTGTTCTTCTTTAGGTTATACTAGGGTACAGCTCTCCAGGGGTCCCCATCAGTGTTCATTAATGTCCCTTCCCCTTGGTAGGCTTTGAATCCAAAGAGTGTCCTGGACCCTCATGACTTAATCACCTTAAATATCTCACTCTCAACACTGTTGCATTGGTGATTAAAGTTTCCAGCATGAGAACTTTGAAGAACACATTCGAACCATAGCAAACACTACTAATTAGTTTACCTGACTGATATCTCACACACACACACACACACACACACACACACACACACACACACACCACTGTACTCAACAATGATACTATAATTCTTTTCCAAGTATACCCAGGATATTTGCCAAAATTGACCATACCTTGCGTCATAAAACAAATCTCAAGAAATTTTACAGGACTAAATTCATTCAGAGTCTATTTTTTGACCCTAGATAAAGTAAGCTAGAAATCAAGGGCAATAAAATGAAGATCCCCCAAATTTTTGGAAATTAAGAAATATACTTATAAATAATGCATGAGTTAAAGAAGAAATTTCATTGGATTTTAGATCATATTCTGAAATTCGATGATAATGAAAGTTTGACCCATCAAGTGATTAACTAACCAATCACCCCTGAAGCGTGTGTTCCTGATTAAGGCATCTCACATGTTAACTAACTATCCTTCTAGTGTAAGTTAATAACCAACCCCTGCATGTTTTAAGATATGTGTACTGGCAAACTGTATTTTAAAGCAAATTGTCAACAGTAAAACAAGAATGGAGATAATCATGTTAATATAGTGCTTTAGATGAAAGTTCCAAATTTTAAATTAAAAGCAACACTCAGGTGAAACTATTTTGAAAATATTTATTCTGTCATATTATCATCCACCTCAAAAAATGCTGAACTGCATGCGTAATTTCCAGGTGATTTTTCAACATTACAATGTATTTATTATCCATCAAATTGCTGCCTTCTTGATTTCCTAGTGTGTTTCTTTCCTGTTTGTAAGTCTTCCTGGGAGCAGAGGGAGGTAGATGGGATGAAAGCCTGGTTTGCCACACTCTATATTCTAATATTTTCAACCCAATTTGCTTTCACACCATCAGAGAAGCTGGGAATTGGATCAGAGACCTCAGGGGCAACCCAAATGATGAATCAGACCTTGGTGAGAAGGTTATCACTCTTGAATCCATGTGCTTAATTAGAAGCTGGTGGAACATTATCATTTACTAGCAAAAAAAAAAAAATCTTCTTTTGAGCGGCAACTGGGTTGAGGAAGAACATGCTGAAAATAGAGATTGTGAACCACAACTGAAATCTGTTTTTCCACAGCAACCACCAGAAAAAAGTGAGAGGTGGAGAAAAGCATGGAAGGTGGCAGCCTGGTCACAGAGCATGTGCCTGAGCGGGGAGACAGTTTCTTTGAAGCTACATCTCATGGCATTCAGTCCTGCATACTGAGCTTTCTTCCTGCAAAGATAGCTTAAATCTGTGTGGATTGTCAATTTTTCTTCCTCTCAATAATATAGTCATTAATATTTCACTTTCTCTTAGCCTGGGACTTTCAATAATTTAATAGCTGCCTTTATAAGCTGCCCGTGAGAAAGACCAGTCTCAACCCACTGCCTCCTGGTTCTCTTTCCCACGGTGCAGAATCTGAGAGGGAAAGGAGGGAGCAAGGGTAGTCTCCTGTCACTCCTCTTGCTCAACTCCCTGCATTTTTTTTTAAACTGGTTCACATTCTTCCTCTTTTATTCCTTGAAGTACTGGTGAAGAGAAAATATGTTTTGTTTGTGTGTGATAGAAAATAAGAGGAATATTAGCAGGTGTTCAAAGGAGACATGGTTACATTCATGATACAGCAGGTTGACAAACTGGTATAATCACTGAAAGAAGAACTTTGGTTGCATTTTTTTGTACCAGTTTTTATCTATTCCAGATATCTTTTATTTCAATGCTAGCAAGTGACTTATGTTACTTTTGCTCAAAGAGAAAGGTGTGTGGAAGCTTCAGGCTTGGG